ACAGGTGTGACAGGGGAAGGGATGGACCAAGGTCGCGAGAGAGGAAAAAACCGAGGATGATACACACTACTACTACAGGATGGCCTATCCTCATAAGGCCTGTGTGTAACAAATCCCCCCCTTCCAGATAGTTATTCTCTAAAATCCACAAAACAACGATTTTTTTCCCAAAAAAAAAACGATATTTTTTTCTTTTTTTTTTTAATTTGGGTGGGTTGCGGAAGGAATTTTTTGTGGGAAGTTCTAAATTCGGATTCAGCAACGCCGAAAACATGAAACAAGCCTATATCCAGGACTACCATATAAATTTCGCAACCTATAATTATGTATTTCCTGGACTAATTCCCGTATTTTAGAATTCCAGGCTCTTGATTTGTTTTTTAATTTTTACTCCTGGCTCTTCTATGTTTTTCACGTTGGGTTAGTTGAAGTGAAGGTGTATCTGTGCTGTTCTGTCTGGGTAATACCACATTTCACATTCCTCGGTGAAGCTGAAAACCACTCAACGGCCGAAACTATATTTGCACTGGATTTCAATTCAAAACTGATAGGTCGCAATCAAATAAAATATAAAATTTCACTGAGTATACCGTACACCTCCGTTTAACAAATGAAAAACGTCATGAGAGAGAAAGTGATGTAAAGTTTTAAGGACTGTGAAAAGATACTGAATTTACAAGAAAGAAGACGTAGAAGTGGAGATAGGCAGTTCTGCAATTAGTTTTAACATATCCTTCAAGTATTTACCTAATAGTATCCTACATCAGAAATAAAAAATGTGTATTCTGTTGAAGAGGTAGAAGAGGTAAAAGAAGCAAAGAAGAAAGGCAATCCATGTATGCCTTATATTTTACAATGTTTAAGGAAGAATCAAGTTGATTTAGTCAGAAATTGTAAGCTAGTGGGTATGAAAATGAAGGAATATGATGATCTGGTAAGATTTCTAGCAAACTGAAAAGTGATAAGACAGTTAAAAGATTCAGGTGCACATTACAGAGAATAGGATATGTATGGTCTGTACTGTACTTTGCTGTTAGCGATGCCAAAATCCTCCGAAATGGATTCAACATTCTAGGAAAGTGTCTCACCGGCTATTGACCAATCTTACTTAAATCAAAGCGAAATTAAGAAGTGAATTTGAAATAAGGAAAGCTCTGGATTCAAATAAAGAAACAAGATTAGTAGGTAATAGAACATCTTGCTGTGAGACTCAAGAATTAGAAATTCTTAAAACGTTATGTAGAGGGTTCGAGGAAGAGGTAACTACAATAATAGTAACCGAGCCGAAAGTAGGTACATTTGAAGATGAAGGTGGAGCTTCAGAGGAAGTTATATGGTCATGGTTTTGGATGCAGTCGAAGGGGGTTTGGAACAAGTTATCGAAGCAGCCGAGGGAGCAATTATGGTAGATTTACAAGCATGAAGAGCAGAGTATATTCAAAATGAAGACGAAAACGGTTTTTGGTTTGTGTCAGACATAGAAGTTAGAGGAATGCAATAATCAAGGTTGTACTGATTGACATCGATAGTTTTGATAAGACTCTGTCATAAAATGAAATGACAACTTCATGGTATCGGAGTGGAGGTAGATATGCGTCATATTTTTGCCAGTACAATAATTTGAAAAGGTATCTATTCAATATCATATTGTTAGAAGGAATTGATGTCAAATTGCTTGAAATTACATTCTTTATGTGTTGGAAAAACTGGAAATAAAAAAATAGAAGAACAATGGCTCTGTGAAGTAGGCAGGCACACTTGAAGCAAAAAAGTTGGAATTTTAGGTAATTGTTAGCGCTTCGTTAGTGCTTCAATCCCCAAAATACCAACCCTTGTATTTTCGGAGCTATTTCGGTTGTTTAAAATCGCCTGCTTACTTATTCACATCCAGCAGGTATAAGGGAAGCACCAACGTTCAGTTACAATTAAATAGTGCTTGATTAGTGCTTCACTCCCCAAATTAGCAACCCTTAAATTTTCAGAGATATTTCGGATTGCAGAAATTGTCTGCTTACTTCACACCCAGCAGGAACAAGGAAAGCACCAACGTTCGGTTACAGATAAATCGTTAGTGCTTCACTGTTCTTCAACCCTCAAATTAGCAACCCTTGAATTTTCATAGATATTTCGACTTTCCGCAATCACCTGCTTATTTCATACAATTTATCGGAAGATGAGTAAACCGGCATAAGCATGAAGAAACACTTAGTACCTAGTGATAAGTAATGGGAATGGGACACTTTCACATTTTTTTTAAAAAAATTTAAATTATTCTGTTAGTCATTCTAATAACATCTCTATAATTTTTTTTCCAAAATGAACGGTTATTTTTGGAAGTAAATTGATTTGAAAATGGAATTTTTAAACTGCTGCAAAAACGCGGGCTCGGAAAGTGACGTCATTTTCAGGAAAATGCGAGGATGCCGAATTTCTCATTAGTGAATCATTACACAACTCACTACCTAGAAACTATTTTCGCCCTTTACTACGTTATAGAAAAAATAAAGAATAGGTATAATCGTTGCTCATTTGAATTTAGTATTTTAAAATGTGGCAACAAAATCATGAATATCGGCTTTAATCAATGAGCCGGCGTTTCCAGTCACGTGATTTTTTGTTTAAATTTGCTAATTTCATTTAATAATCTGACTGATATCTTGCCAAATATTGTTCATTCTCGGTTGCATCCATGTATCTGCGTCAAGAAAAATCATAATTTGCCAGCTTTCTGGCACGTGAAAGTGACCTATTCAGACCAGAGTTTATGCTGTTTATATTCTCGGTTCCCGGACCTAGTAGAGTGAAATCAGCAGGCGAATGCAAAAAGTCGAAATATCTCTGGAAGTATAAGAGCTGTTAAAAGCTGAGGTGGTGCATCATGAAACACTAACGAAGCACTAATCATTTATCTACAACTGGACATTGGTACTTTTAATGTTTTCGCTTTACTGTAAAGAGAGCATACGATTGCGAAAAGTCGAAATAGAGGTATAAGAATTGTTAAAAGCTGAGGTGGTGCATCGTGAAGTACTAATGAAGCACTAACCATTTTTCTAAAGTCCGTTTATAAAGTCTATAGACTTTTTCGAGTGCGTGATCTGAGATTTTGGACGCTGATTGGTCAGAATTAGAGGGTCGACTTGGGCGACTAGCGCTCAATTTAAACGATTAACCTAAGGCCCTAGTGAGGCCCCAAAAACTAGCCAATCAGCGTCCAAAATTTCAGATTACGCACTCGAAAAAATCTCTATAGACTTTACGAAAGGACTATACAACTGAACGTTGCTGCTTACTGCTTTTCATGTTCCTGCTGGGTGTGAAGTAAGCAGGCGATTTCTGGAAACCGAAATATTTCTGAAAATATAGGGGTAGCTAATTTGGGGATAGAAGCACATTGGAGCAGTAACCATTTGTCTGTAACTGAACGTTGGTGCTTCCTTTGTTCCTTCTGGGTGTGATTGGTGTGAAGTAAGCAGGCGTTTTCAAAAACCGAAATATCTCCGACAATACAACGGTTGCTAATTTGTGGATTGAAGCACATTGAAGCACTAACGAAGAGCTAAACGGTTACGTAAAATTTAACTTTTGTGCTTCAAAAAGTGTGCCTGCCTACTTCAACTTCACAACGCTCAAGTCGGAAGAACAAGAAAAAAATTTAATATACCACAAGGTATAGTGAATATAACTTTTGATGGTATCTCATGTGTAAATGAGTTAAGTAGGTACCTGGAACAGTGGATGAATTGAAAAATTGGGAAGATGAACATGTTTAATTTTGGCTCATTCCCTTTCACCGTCTTAGACTGTAGACGCATTGCTCTCGTTCCTTCGTCTAAATTCATTTCAGCAATCACAGCGTAGCGTATTTTATGAATAAATGCTTCGTCTATCATTTGACTAAGTAGGTACCTACCATTAATAATAGGCTAGTCATTAGAAGGAAAAAAAGACCCGCAGCTTGACAAAGGTGGGGTAGTCGTGATTTTGACATAGGTATGTTGTTCAGATTGAAGCCCTCAACAAAAATTTGAGTTTTCTATTTTAGGGGGCGCCGGCTATCTTCGCCATCTTAGATTTAGTGTGCACAAAAATGTTTTTTTCAATATAACTCGTGAACGGTCAACTTCAAGGAAAAAGCGTACAAATCAAGAATAGGAAAAATTGAATTTTATACAATTTTCATATATGTAAAACTTTTTTTTGTAGCTGTTATCTGTAATGACTGCCATCTCATGCAACTGCAAAATAGGTTTTACCGGAGTTTGTGGATGTCGAAAATCTCACCTCAAATGTTCCATTGTCTAGCCTGTGAAAATCGAGAAAAATAAATCCATTCCCATAAACCTTAAAAGAAAAGTATATACGACACTTGTATATTAAAGAGTCCGCTAAAAATTTTGAAACCATTCATAGAGCAATGGAAAAAAATATTCTTGGAATATCACTGAGACAAAATTAAAAACATCGAAATAAGATGCAAAACGGAAGCCAAAGACATTTTGGAGGAGGTAGCAAAGATGAAATGGCGATGGGTTGGCCAAATAGCCAGATACGAGAACGACATATGGACATGAGGAATCCTGGAATGGAGACCAAGGGAGAAAACAAGAAGCACGGGAAAACCTAGTAAAAGATGGGTGCAGAACATAAAGACAGTGGCAGGTAAACTTTGAATGAGATTGGCGAAGGATAGAGAAAGATGGAAACAATTAGAAGAGACCTACATCCAGGAGCGGATAAATAGAGGTTGACAAAAAAGAAGAGAGAGATAATGTGGATTAGGTCTACTGGAAATACAATAAAAAAAGCCCGCCGGCTTCCCCCAAGGTCGAAAACTCAAATTTTTTTTAGGGCTTCAATCTGAACAACATAAACATATACCTATGTCAAAATCGCGACTTTCCCACCTTTTGGAAGCTGAATCCCTCTAATGGCTGGACTATGATAGATAATAGTAAAATTACAGATTTTTGTGGTGCAGATAATCCGTTTCAACTCACCTGTCCATTTCTTTTTCTCTGATGGTCGTTGTCGAGCTGAGGCCATTCCAGGGAACGGGTTTAGTTTTGCACTTCTTTTTTCGCTCGCTTAATGGTACCCGGGCGGTTCTCGCTAAAACTACGATACTCTGAAACAACAAACACGCAAAAAAATTAGAAACGCCGTTTTAAAATGATAATCGTTTTGCTTGCTGGCCGTACTCGAATGACGGGAGCCATTAATGTGCATGTGTGCATGCATAATAATGAGCTATTAAAAGGTACGTATCTGTATCTTCAGGTTTACAAATTAAGTTAATTATTGGAACAGCATTTCTTTAGGTCGTAGCTAATCTTGTAGTATTGCGAGGATGTGAGTGATGCGAGGGGAAAGTTCTATGGTGGGATGTAGGATTGAATTTATATTGACAACGTAATAGAGAATTAAACATTCAGAAAATTAATGATTTTTCGTAATATACATAATTAACATAATATAAGCTTGGCATTATCAAATAGAGTAGCAGATGTCATTAATTGGAGTAAGTTGATTTTTTTATCCAATCTAGTGGAAATTTCAAATAGGGAAATAGTATGGTAATATGGTCACCCTTCTCTTTACAATTCCTGTGAAGATGTATCTATTTTGGGGAGAAGCCACCATCGCCTCAAACGACACTTGGTTGCCCTTAGCTCCTCACCAACCAACTTCATACCAGTAATCCTTCTCGCCTCCAGCTCTACTTATTCCAAAATTCCTACCAATTTTTAAACAATAGGTACACACAAGTTCCACGGGGTTTGATAAGAGCTGCCTTATGGAATCTGATGGAACCAAAAATCCACTGACTTGAATACAATTTCATAAATCGGACAGAAGCACCCAGAGAAAAAATAAGCAAATGACTTACTTTCAAGGCTCAGAAGAAAGGTTCATCGAAATGAAAAAATGCCTTAAACACAAAATGAGATGTGGTCCGAATAAGTGAGGTTTGAAAGTACGGCTAAGGCTTAGAAATTTCAGATTCAGCACAATGTCAATAATATAGCTATATCAACAATGTAGATATATCTCCTTCACCCTTTCGCAGGTTAAGGTTTAGATATATTTCCACAATAAATACTGATCCGAGACTTTATTCAAAAACATAATATATTTTTTAAATTACATATTGGGTTTCTTTATTTAAGCATAAAATAGAGGTTTACCTTCATTATTAACTTGAACAATTCCTTTATGCTAATAATCGTCTAGTTGTATAGATTTAGCCTTGAGAAAGCTTCAAAGAAAAGATCCAAAGGGTTTAGATCCCATGATCTTGCAGCCTAAATAATGTTACCTTATCCTTATATCAATAAATGAGGAGGCAATCAGGAAAGCGCGTGCGTAATAAAGTCATTGTTTCCCTACATCCACATGAAGAGACCCCCGTTATTGACTGACATGGCATCAGCATTTACTTTTATTACGGACACATTTTTCTGATGGCCGCCTCATTTCTCGAAATCATCATAACGCATATTTCGTCTGCAAGATCGTGTGATCTAACCCATATGAATTTTTTTCTTGGGGCTTTGTGAATGTTCAAACAAAGAATCTTGATAGTTTTGCAGTACCTACCTAATTGGAACACATATGATTGAATATATTTGAGAAAAACTATCCAGTCCTACATGTTCTATTGTCCATTTGAAACACGGGTACCTTTCTAGTTCTCATATAATAAAATATTCTGATTATGTTGTTATTTCTCGGAACAAGTCTCGTTTTGACCCCGTTACCTAAAAATTATATCTTTCATGTTCCTAATTTCATAAGTAATTTTGATTGAGGCTTATTAAATTATTCAGCTTTTGTCCACTTGGTTTCTTTAGTTCACGACAAATTATTTGTTTATTGTGTCTTAATGTATTGTATTTAACTATGGTAACACAGCTTTGCGGTCACGTTTGCTAAATTCCCCTTGTAATGTTTTTGGCATGACGATAATTTTTGAGACAAACAAATAAGATTTATGTTATATGTATAACCTTAATAATTGGACTTTGATGTACAGCCGATGGAAATTTTTGTACAGCTTGAGATACATGAACATAACAATCTGAAAGCAACCAATTCCCCCTCATACTATCACATTTATTTCCTCAGACCGAACTAGAGAAATTGCAGATAAATTAACATACTTTGGAAATTATCTTTTTACATTCCCAAATAAAGTACCTATAGTACACTGTTTCCAACAGCAATCCATAAAGCATCAGATGTAATTTAGAAAGCATCAAATGTAATTAGGAATAGTAAAATGAAATTCAGCATGCACCAAATGAAATTCAGATTTGTGAAATTTATTTCAGAAAGCATCAATTATAATGCAGATTTCTCAAATGTAATTAGGAAAACATCAAATGAAATTCAGAATGCTATTCAGAAAGTACCTACCTATTAAATGAATTTAAGTATAAAAAAAAATAACCCCGATTATTTACTTAGATTGAATTAAATTGATAAGTAATTCCACATACAAATAGTAAAATGTATTTATTTTAATAGTTTTTTTTTAAATTTTGATGTGTTCTGAATTATTGTCTGTCGATTTTAATCTGACACTTTCCGTATGAGGAGCGAGGGGGTGAAGCTTATGGCAAAAACAGATATGACGTTATGTGACCATTGGCGTTCTAATGTAGGGAGACACTACCTCACATTCCTTTGGAGTATCAGATTAAAATCTACGGACTTTACATTCGATGGTTTCTGAATAACATTTATTACTTTCTGAATTACATTTCATAGACTAGAAATACAATTGATGTTTTCTGAATTATAAGTGATGCATTCTGAATACCTTTTGAAAAATCTGAAATACATTTAGTGCTTTCTGAATTACTTTGGTTAAAGGACCCCTCACTTTTCTAATGCAAAATGGCTTTCGGCCAATTTTTTTTTAAAGTTGGTATGTGCTAGTCCTTGATGTTCTGAACAAATGTCTCCGTGGGCCCAATTCGATCCTATGTTCAGTTTCCGAGATATCGGTGCTCAAAGTTGGACAAAGGGGAATTTTGAAACTTTTCCTATAATCTAAACAATAGCCTATAATAATTAAATCCTTACTTTTCTGATCGAAATATTGTTTGAGAATTTTGCTTATAGTATGGTCTTTCAAATGTGAAATTAATTTTTTATACACGGTGAACCAAAATATTTATATAGAGGTTTATTTTATTACAATTCAAAATTATGCAAAATTATCGCTCACCATTTTGGACCGATGTTCTGTATCTTGAAAACAAACGGCCAGATTTTCACAAAATTTTGACATTTTTTATGTATCGATAGCCGAAGAAAAATGACGCAATAAAGTGTTTAGACGGTGTAGCATAACAATTGAATATCAAAATAAAAGACGGTTTCTGTCACTTGCGTCGAATATCAACAAACATTGACACTTGAAAATATTCAAATATTGCTTTTTCTGATTATTTTAATTTAATAATGGCTTTTCGAAATCGCTTGTTGATTCGTTGTTACACATGTAATGGGAATTTTAATCGTCAGCAAATGGCTATTCTGTACGATGCCAACAATGAACCAAAAATTGAACTTGCACGAGATAGGCGCCAGCGTGAAGGCTTTCCAGAGCAGGACATTGAAATGCAATCACGGATTTGCCTCAATTGCAATAGATCCATAATAAATGAACTTGAGCAAATACAGCATGATCCCCGTTGCGTAAGAATTAACGTTTTAAAGCAAACGCGTAGAAAAAGTGGCTTAATCTGCGATGCGATAGAGAATCTTCATAGGTTGTCTGTTTCTTCAAGAGCAAAGATCTATATAGCTCAAAATATATACGTTCCAAATGGGGCAAGATCTTGTGCACAACATTTAGATAACAATGGATATATGCTACCTTTTTTGATGCCAACTTTAAGATATATTCACCGTGCGTATTTGATTCCGGGAGAAGACTTGCAAGTGTTCTTAGAAGAACTACGCATATTGGCAGCCAGATCTAGCAGATGGTTTTATGATGAAAATTCATTATCCGATGAGGATTTCCAAGACATATCAGGCCTTACCAAAGAACAATATCAGCATCTTTTCACATTTTGCAATCCGGTTCTGGACAATGGTCAGCACAGGTAAAAATAATTATAAATACCTACTTATTTGATTAGCAAAACTTTTGAGGTACTTATTTAATGGAATCATTTACAATCTATTTCAAAGACCTAAATACTACTAGGTGCATCTTTTAAAGAATTCCTATTTTTACTTTTTTTATATTTTTCTTTTAGAAATATTTCAAGAAAAGACTTAATTGCTTATTTATGCAAAATGAGACATGGGTTATCGGATGATTTTCTCCGAATTATATTTGAGTACCGAAGCTCACAACAGGTTAGTATGGCAATAACAAATGTCAGGAAATCATTAATGGAGAACTTTGTTGGACTTATCGCGGTAACAAGAGAAAACTATATCCGTCAACATGTGACTGAATTCTCTAATATATTATACAATCCAGAACCACTTAATCCAAAGGCAATCGCATACATAGATGGCACTTACTTTTCTATTGAAAAGAGCTCCAACTTTAGAACTTTACGCCATTCGTTTTCGGTTCACAAACATAAACATCTCATCAAACCTACCCTAATTGTAGCTCCTGATGGATATATCCTGGACATTATTAATCCATATTTTTCTGATGGATTAAATAATGATGCGGCAATATTAAATACAGAGCTACAAAGAGAAGGGAATCTGTTGCGTGAATGGTTTGAAGAAGACGATATATTTGTTGTCGACAGAGGGTATCGGGATTCTATTCCAATCTTACAAGAACTTGGTATTGACTACAAAATGCCTAGTTTGTTACCTCATGGTCAGAGACAGTTAACAACTGAGGAAGCAAATGACTCCCGTCTAATAACCAAGACTCGGTGGATTGTGGAGTCGAGGAACGGTCACCTAAAGTCAGTTTTTAAATTCTTGGCACAGAGGATTTCTATTCTCGATGCATCACATTTAGGAGATTATTTGAAAATTGCTGGAGCCCTACTAAATCGATACCATCCTTCAATTGATATGGTTGAAGCAAATGCCGAACTTGCAAATAATATTCTAAGAAGAAGACAACAAATT